GAGTTGACACCCGAAAAGGCATCACGTACAATGGTGGATTAGTTGCTGGACATGAGCCCGGGGTAGCCTGGTGGGCGGGTAGGAGTCGAAGGGATCAAACGACGGATCTACCGGCTTGGACAGCTCGACGCAGTTGTCTGCAAGAACAGAACCCCCTCGCCTCGGGGATGCTGGAAGAAGAGATGTGTCATGTTTCAGTGCCAGTTTGGTGACCTGGCGCGGCGTGCGGGCGGTGATGGGGGACAATGAGGACGACGAGGTTAGAGGCTGGTTGGCATAGACGCAGCGGACCTTGCGCTTGATGCACCGCGAGCATTGGGGCGTGCGAAGGTCGCAGGAATGCTTGGATTTAGCACAGGCATCGCATGAGCGACGCAGACTTGCGCGGTGGTTCATGGGCGAGGGCGAGGTGTGGTGGGCATTTGGTGATAACGAGCGTGGTACAGTGCATAATAATAATTGCTGGCTGGAGGAGCAGCTTCAATTGACTTGAATCCAGGCGGGTGTCTTTGTTATTATTGGTTCCGTCTTGCGAGAAAAATGCAATATTGATCCCAGCGGCCCACAGCGATCATGTAAGCGCTGAATCCAGCTGCTTTAGTTGGCTGGAGCTGCTGGCCCGCTGTAATACCGTCACGAGTCTCACCAATGGCGCTGTAACTATGGGCGATCCCGGGGGCTGGGCCGTGATCCCTCGCAACATGTCAGCTAAGCGGCCAGTGCGACAATTACACTCATGATAATTTATCATGAACCGATTGTCTTGTATACTTAGTTATTGCAACACCAGAGCAAGGCCCTCCCAAGATGAGGCCTTTATTTAGACCAACTAGCATTTCCTTGGCGACCTCGTTTCATGACTCAATGCACGATGCTTTCCTACTCCCCACTTGCCTACCCTATATACCTCTTGCACGTTCCCGAGAAGTAGCAAATCTGCAGAATATCTTTCACTCAAGTCGTCTGTGCCTCGTGATTCGAGACTCATTTTCATCTAGCCCAGTCTTTCTCTTTGTGTGGGAAGACAATTTGCCCAGCTTTGACCTTATGAGAGGTAGAAGAAGCACCCAGGATCATTTGGTCGGGCTTCTTATATACTAACAGAGTGCACCTTACGTTCATTCCACACTCTCCAAGGCCCTCGCGAACCTACATACCAGAAGAATTTTAAAGACAGGCAAAAATACGACCAATATGGTATCCCTACTGCATGCACACAATGCTAAGTTGGTTTTATCGTCGGTTTCTGAGTATTCGACGGAGCAATAAGAATGGAACGGGAGATTTTGAATCGCTTACTCATCTTATCTAACGTGACATTCAAAAAGGCAAAAGAGAAAGGTCTCAGTGGGGATCGAACCCACAATCTCCTGATTCGTAGTCAGACGCCTTGCCATTGGGCCATGAGACCTGGTATTGTTGTTGAAGTCATGTCTCAATTTGGCATTCATATTCATCTCCCCATTTGGTTGGCCAACCCTTCTGGCGGGGTTGAAATCGCTGTGCTCTAAAATTATAGTTGAATTTACAATAAAAGACGTTGATGGCGTGATACCATGGACTGAAAGAAATTTGGAAGTTGTTATGCGGTCACGCATCTGATCAGTTAGATAGGTTGTAAATTCTCATCGTTTGCCTTCACCTGTACAACAAAATCTGACGTGGTGTAAATCATATCTCCTAAGCAAGTAGAAGTCACCTTATTTATGGCATTCAAGGAAAGAAAGGGTGTACCAACTAACGTTAGGCCTTAAGGTTGCAGAATCGGGTTTCAGTGGCTTCTGGCAAAGATCCAAGCCGGCGACTTATATCAATATGTACATAGCTCTCTACGCGGATAAGATTTATATTTTGATACGAAACCACAAAGAACCATGCGAGATCCTAGCTACCACTTCTTATCAAGTGAGCTAGGTGTTCCTTCTCAAGTCTCGAGAGCTCGAGCCGACATGAAGAGTGTATCCCCTTATGCAATGACCAATTTCCTAAGCAGCAGGATCCTAGTAGCTCGCGTCACTACGGCGGAGGTTGGACCTGGCAGTAGCTTGTTCTCTTGCGTCTAAATAGACCTTTTGGAAACTACGCGGTATTCGAACTGGCCGGGCCGCCTCATTGGGGAATGTGATGTACAGTCTGCGCCTCCAATCTTGCCAATGTTTTGATGGTCGTCTGGATGGCAACCACTTCATTTTACAGATCTTGTTCTCTTTCAGGCACCGCCTTATCTGATGGATACTTGCTACGGCACGCGTTTTGATCTTGTGTTAGGCTCTGATGCCAATATACTAGAAGCTGGATACTCCTTGTAAGTCACCACTGGCCCGGCTGGCTGAGAAAGCATTGTTTGGACCATCAATGGCCGAACCAGCGTGAGCCCCGAAGAAAAGCCTCAGGTTGCCATCATTGTCGCTTTTTATTAGAATGATGGTCTGTGAATTAGTCTCGCGAATGAGATTGTTGTGGTCCGCCCGAATGTTGTCAACGGACTCGGCATGGGACGGCTGCTTCTAGGACATCGGCGAGGTGGTGCTGGTGAATTGATAGAATTCGCTATTTGCAAGACCTACCGCTTGTGAACATATTTTGACTCTGCTTCACGAGTATGTGTATTTCCGCTAGTGTCTGTGCGTGCTCAGCCTATGCTGAAGGTGTCATGGCCGTGTGTTCTGGCTCGCCATATGTATGTTCCGTGTTTGTAGGGCGTTGCCGTGCAATATCGGATAACCGTCAATTCTGGCCGGCAAACGGAATTTCGACACTCGCATTCACGGTGAAACCTCCGACATAGGACACGCATGTGACCCCTCCTCTGCCTGTAGCTTCGGTATGGCGTTAGGCCGAGCTCCACAGTCGAGGCACCCCGCTCCGGAAAAGGAGCCCGATTGCTTCATGCCGAGCACTTCAGCACCTTTCTCCTTCATTCGATCCCTTACTAAATCTCGCAGGAACGCTCTCGTTGAGCAATTTATCCAATATACACCAATCTCGACCCCAAAATGCCGTTTGACACCCCTCTGAAAGCAGCCCTCCAAAGCCAGCCCACCGCCTGGGGCTTCTGGCTCACGTGAGTCCTCTCTTGATAATCCGATTCTTCTGCGGAACATCTTGAAGACCCGGAAGTGTTTTGAACGCCCCTCACTAATAATCCATCCCTTCTTGTAGCCTGCCAAGCGCGCCAGTCGCTCGCGTAATTCTTCGCTCGGGACAGTTTGCGCCATTCAAGGGCTTCAGCTGGGTTCTGATTGATGCCGAGCATGGCTTAATATCGGATAAGGACTACTATGAGGCATGTTTGCCCCTGTTCAGGCCGGTGGTCAGGAGATTTATGCTTACATTTGCCTAGCTGTCCACGGCTATTGCCTCAGAGGGTGCTACGCCCATCGTTCGTGTTCCTTGGCACGAGGAGTGGATGATCAAGCGGGCTCTTGACTCTGGCGCACACGGAATTCTGACCCCTATGTGCCATTCTCCAGTATGTCTATCGCCCGAATTGTAATTCTTTACCATAATGGAGAGCTCCTTCTAACCCATGATCTTTGACAACCGTAGGAGGATGCGAAGCGTATTGTGTCTTACTGCAAGTACCCACCCGTTGGGTCTCGCGGATACGGGCCCATGTTCGCTCCTCATTCGCTCCCCGGAGTGTCTGGAGGCCAGTACGACGACTCGGCTGACCAAAGCTTACTGGTCATGGTGCAAATTGAGTCCAGGTCAGCAGTTGAGCAAGTGGAGGAGATTGCCAACACACCAGGCTTGGACGTTCTCCTTATTGGTAAGTCTGAACCCAACGCTCGAGACTCCTGTCCGAAAGAGCCATGAACTAATGAGAGAACCCGAAATTTCAGGTCCCTTTGATCTGGCCAAGCAAATGAATGTGGTACGAGGCGGCGAGGAGCACGAGGCCGCAATTCAAAGAACCCTCAAGGCAGCTAAGGCGGCAGGCAAGAAAGCAGCAATTTTCTGTAAGTTTTTTTTCATATGTATTGATATAGCTCCTCAAGGAAGCACGGTTAACTAATAGAGAGTAACAGGTACAAATGGGCAACAAGCTCAGGAGCGCGCCCAACAAGGGTTCGATTTAGTATCTATTGCTACTGACTTGGCGGCGATAGAGTCAGGCATGACTCGCGAGCTAGCCACTGCCAATGGAACAGGTCTAGATGGAAAAGCCAGAGATGGGTACTAATGGCTAGGGTAATAGAGCATTGCGAATTTGATCTATCATAGAGAGAATTATAGATTCTGATGTTCACCGAACCACTGTTAGCCGTGACGCATTCTCCCCCAACCTTCCAGCGAAAAAGAAAGATATGTGGTGATATGGAATAAACTATAGAGGATTACCTCTTAATAGAATTCCTATTCTACACTTCATCTACCCCTATTGACATATATACTTAGCTATACTGGGGCTTCTGCCTGCTCTTCATTGATAATGTTCTTGTTTTGTTTGCCCATGTTTCTCTTCTTTGTTGCACTCGATTGAGCCATACTATCGCCTCATTCCTCTTCACCCTTCTGCTCTCGTTTTAATGCCCTCCCAACTTGGACGGGACCAATATCCCTGGTTGGTGTAATTGGGCCTGCGAAGCCACTGCTCTGGGTCGTAGGCAGGATGGTCTTTTGCTATCGTTCAAACCCGCCGGCATGCGTCCTGGGAAGTTCAAGGACGGCTCACCAGTGGCGAAAGAGCGGCGTGTGCAAGCCCAAGGACAAGAATAAGAGCAAAAGTGGTGAGCCCACCTCTTTGAGTAGGGTGTTTGCCCAATTCAAACCCAAATGTCCCGTCTAGATGTGCCCTTTGCAAAGGATAAGGGTATCAAGTGAGAGCGTCGTCGATTAATCATGATAACTTATTCACATCCCAAACTGGTCCCTGCCGCGCTATTCAATACAGTAATCTAAAAATGGTCAAGATTTTGTTTGGGCCTGGTACTAAAATCCTTGAGTTGAAAGATTATTATACTACAGAGACATCCGAGGAACTGACTTCTCCCAACCTAAGTAGGTGGTGGACGAAAGGGACGTGGCCCAAGCATCGCCAATTCGACTTTGCCCATGAACCGAAAATCCTGGGGACGAGGCTTTCGATTGAAGCGTCCCAACTTTTGTGGTTTCCTCGTCTGTGCTAGAAATAAATTGTCCTTGTCGCTCAGTTCCGGGCAAGTTATATCGAACACAAGATCGGACGCTTCATCACCTCGCTCAAGGAGCTGACAGACGAAGCCGGATATATTTACATCTGCCCAAACACGTTCTGGTAAAGTGCAATCATTACCTTCTTTGCCGCCTCTACAGTATACCTTGAGCGTGCCCAGGGGTGGTAATGTCCGGGGGCGTATCAAGCAGATATGACGATAGAGCTCATCAACGGCAGGATAGGTCACCAGCGGCCGAACGATTTCATCTGGTTCGCGGCCTACCCAGCCCATCTCGAACCAGATTGTTAAAATTCGTAGCTTTGGGAAGCCCGCTAGGACCTCAAGAATATCATAAGGCCAATCGCCATTTCGACTGATATCGAGAGCCAGTTCCTCTATGAGAGGACACTCCCGTTGGATTGTTAATAAAGAGGATGCGTTAATGGTCTCGTCGGCCCAAGTCTTTGTCTCCTTTTGATGAATCTTAAGTACTCTTAGGTTGGAACCATGCCTGATGATCCCACCCAGGCCTAGGGCACTGAATCTGGGGATTGTGATACTTTGTAGAGCATTTGGGACTGATTCATAGAAATCTATAACTCTCTCGGTACCCCGGGGTCTGTCGAAGACCACATGCTCGATTGAGATGAGTTTCGGCGCTAGTTTGAGTGCAAAGTCCACGTTCGCAATTGTTAGGCGCTTGAGCCTGGACCAGTCGAAAACCTCAGCCCAGTAGCCCGACTCGTGTCCGTTCCCAGGATAGCCAACATGGCTGCCACTGATGTACCCTGGTTCAATCTCTTTTTGGTATCCGAACTCATACCTGATAAGTTCAAGACTCTCTAGCGCTGGGGGTCGTTCACCATCAACGAACCCAAGCCCGGTGTAGCTTCCAGGTAGAGGAAATGAGAGATGTTCCTCGCCCTGAGGCCCAAAGTCAATGCGAAGCTTTCGGACGTTTGGGCTGGACAAGAGAATTTGTTTGGCAATTTGAGCAAACTTGATACAGCTTTCCTCATCATTGTAGGTGAAGATCATGTTGAGCGAATGCAAACTGTCACTTCTTTTTAGGAGCGGTGCGGTATACACAGGCATCCGAACATCCGGTATAGGATAAACAGCACGATCAAGTGACCTAATGGTGGTATGAAGTCGGACGCTTTCCCCAAGCGGTAGAGCGAACACGACTTTCTCGGGAATGCCGACTGACACGACAGGTGGTAGGGGAAGGGACCGATACCGGTTTGATGGTGTGTACAACATTGTGTTCCACCATTCCAGATCCCTTAGTCCTGTAGCTTTCTGCATGAACTGAACTAGGGCATCTAGACATTTTTCGTCTTCCTCTATTTCAGGGGCATCCACTCTTATGCTTCGAATGGCAGGTATCAAGCCGTGTTTCTCGATATAGGCCAGGCGATCGTGGAAACTCTTCTGGTGTGGGCTTTCAATGAGGAACGTTACATCTCTATGCTGGCAATACCGCGCTGCATGATGGTAGTACGAGTTGACTAGCACGAGATTATCCATTGAGCGCGGGTTCTCTTCGTATACCATATTGAAAATTAAAAGAATAAGCTCAAGGCCCAGTACATCTAGAGAAGGCCGATACGCTTTTTTCCTCCTAAGCATTCGAGGCAGAATCTCGCCATACGTTGACGGTTTGACGGCAAGCTTGCCCTTAGAAGCAGCGGTATCGGGGATTCTCAAGTGAGTAGAGATCGTTTGCTTCAGCTGGGCTTCCAGGTGATGTAACACGGGTCTTGCATTTTGAAGCAGTCGGCGAATGGGAGGGGCATCCTCCATCTGGTCAGTGGTCGTCATCTATAAAAGATAAACTGTCCGTTGCTTATTGGCTGAGTTAACGCTGCCGCGTTCGATACGAATAGAGGGTGGAATCGAGCTGAATTGAGGCCGAGGGGGTCTATTGACTGCAGCGCCCACGTGTCAGGCTTGTCGCGCTTTGGGCTGTCTGTATCCCGTGAGGCCAATGAGCTTGTGTCGAAGTTTAACAGCCGAGGAAGTTAGGTGGAGAGTAGAGTCTAGAGGGAAGCGAACTCGCGCGTAGGAAGCCGTATGTGAACTTCGGATGAGAAGTAGGTTGCGCTTCAATGTTTGAACGCGTATAAACAGCGGTTTCAGAAGGAAGGCCACTTGTACAGCCTACCCCTGTATCACGTGACTCGTGACTGCGATTTGTGATGATGATCTTGATCCTTCGCATATTCTGTCTTAGTGCCATCTGTGGTTTGAATTAATCGAGCTACTCATCCTCATATAGTTGTTTCAAAGGTCCTAAGCGAAGTCCTTTGCAGGCACACTCTATATCTGGATCGAATCATGGAATTGTCATTAGGAACGGGGACTTGCTATTACATCCGGGAAGCTTTTGGGCGACGGAAAAGTTCAATTCCTGGTATTGTAGCCGCCAATCTGTTTCAATGAACGCCAGAAAAGAGAATGGTAGGAGGGCAGTGGTTGGAAGCTACGCGAGAGACACATCAAGTGGAATGCCCGTGATCAGCAATGCCAGACAGATGGGCTCTGTACTTGCTGCAGAGGATCAAATCTCTAGCCCGCTGTCCAGCACCTCCCTTGGCTTTCTCTATGATGATACGGAACAGCCGATACAGTTCCTTGTCTATTGCGCCTTTCTGAATAAGGTAGCATGAATGTCCCCTTGCTAAAAATACAAAATATGTGGTGGCATGACTATTCATAGTTCTAAAATCTCATCAACAAATAATCTGTGTCCTCAACCCGCTAATGTACCGGTAGTTGACATCTTATGTCGGTTTATCGCATTATATTAAAATTCCATATAAATCGTATCCAATTATAGTCTCGTGTCATGGCACCCTTCGCTACTCTCCCAACGGAGGTTCAAGCCTAGGGCCAGAAGGGGCCAGACACCGCGCGACCATATTCCTGAATTCTCTCATTACCACTTGTTGTCACTAATTTGAGCATTGGTGGGAACCGGCCGGCCTCCAGTTTCCAGATCATCGGCTGCCTTGGCTGATGAGACGGAAATAGCAACCTCCTTCTTGATACCACCCTTGGGGGCACCCAAGGCGGTGTTGAGGCTAAGTTCCGAACTACTACGCTCTTCGTCGGGCATGACACGGGAGGTGATAGTTCGACTTGTGGTAGTGTTCTTGGCAGATCGCCAAGTAGAGCCGTCGTTGGTGTCGCCGAGCATGATGCTCCCTGGTTCCGGCCCAGTCTTCTTTGTCTGAGAGGACAGCAGAGAGCCGAGGAAGGGCTTGAGTTTGATCTTGAGCCAGCCCCAGATCACGGGCATACACGAGGTGATTACGGCAACGAAGGATTCGCGGATGGCCCAGGACGAACCTTGCCTAGGACCGTCAATCTCGTTCTAGTGAACGCAAAAGTTAGCCACCCTTTAATCTTATATTCTTTAATCACCGTTGTGTTTTAAAAAGCGGCAGATGACGTACCTGGAAAATGACAATACTGCGAACAATTGCAGCGGCTATAACGAACATAGCTCCCGAGAATACCACAACTAGAGTCAACTTCTTAAAGGTCGGGAGTTGCGTTCCCCAAAGCATGGGAATAGGGATGAGGATGAGGTAGATGTCCGTCGTGATGTTTAGTATCAGTGTCGAAAGGATATATAATTTTGAAAGGGCGGGCTGACAGAGATCTATCCGGGGAAGTAGTTAGCAACAGGCAAACAATGGCACGTCATGCATTTTACTTACTTCCTGGGTCAGGGTTGATTTGCCAAAACCTATGCATGGGCTGACAGCTCAGCAGGAAGCAAAGAATCAGAAAAAGGTATGTGACTCCCAGGAAGGCATATCCTCCGAGAATTTTGGGGCGGTAGCCATGAACACCGTCCTGCAAGCAAATCCAACCAGTCAATATACTCTAGATCACTTAGGAAACATCAAAGAACCTACCGTCAAACGAGAGTAGAATGCACACAGGGACAGCTTGATACCCCAAAGAACTGAGATATACATACACCAACCGGCAACTTGGACCTTGGACCCTGCGACCCTGTTTTATCACACTTGTTAGCACACCAGGTCGTCAGGGTAAATAGGCTGATCGAGGGGAACAAGTCAGAGGGTGAGCTGACCTCCATGCATATTCATCACTGTCCGGGCTTAAGGCGGCACGCTCGGCGTCGGTCATGCCACTGTTGGAGACTCCATGGAGTTGTTGCCCAACGGCTTGTGCCATGATACTCTCTGAAATATATGGGATTATGATACCCAACATGGCATAGTCGTCCAACGTGAGACCGACAAAGCCGACCTGTCGAACGCGAGTAAATGTGCGCAGTAGAATGATTAGAAGGCCGAGGGAAAGATAGGTGTAAGATTCCGCGAGGAAACTGTTGAGGGACGCATCCGCGGAACTCATGGTGGGCAACAGGGTGGCTAGCCGCGTGCCACAACGTTCGAAGGAAGGCCAAGCTCGAGTTCGAGGTCGTTCGCAAAACCAAGACTGTGGATAAACTACCCGGAGGAGGAGAAGTGAGGATACGGGGCGTTCAAGACATAAATGAAATCTAATAAAGAGGGGATGGGGTATGCAGGGCGGATCCGATGTACGAGGGAAACAGGCACCGCGACGCCCGAGCCAACTCTGACGAGAGGCGGTCCGCATAAGTGGGAGATAAATGGAGATAACAGATATCGCGAACCTACTAGCGCCAAGGCAATGAAATAACAGATGGGACCTCTTGGACGCGTCCACGTCGATGTTGGTCCAGGACGATCAAACGTGCCAGCCCTCTGCATTGCGCGCTACCTGAGTCGTCGTGCATACGTACTAGCAGGTCGGTATTACGGTGGCCATGGCTCGGGGATACTAGCTTCATGCTTAGGTACTCCATGCGCTGGTCCTTGCAATAGAGATGCCAGTTCGAGTCTGAGCAGCTCGGTCTCGAGGCTCGTTCGTGAGCCCGATCTTATGATATGACACCATGATATCGAGGATCTGTCATATGCAGGAGATTTCCACCAATTTCTGGGGAACAGGCTGCAGCAGCACGATCCAAAAAGCAAAAAGCTTCCACCAGGAAGGTCGAATACTCAGCGGAAGGCTCGCTCATGCTTCCGGCCAACCGGTGGGTGTGAAGCAGGGCACACCCCTCCCCTTGCCACGGCCGAGGTAGTGATCGGCTGGCTAGACAAGATGATTTTCCTTTGGCGACCAACACTTAAACCCTACAGGTGGATCCCCCACACTGAAGATCAAGCTGAAGATCAAGGTCGAGAGGGGGGGCTACCCTTGCACGATCTCCCCCTAGCGCGGAGACTCGGAATGTGAGCGGGCGGCCAAAGATTTTCTACCCTTCTTTCCATCGGCAAGCGAGGCAAGCGAGAGTAGACAGAAATAGGTGAATCAGCAGGACGATTAAGCGAGAGGCCTTTCCCTATGCAACGCTGGCGACAAAGACGGTCGAGCGAACGGACTTGACTTTACCTGCTTACAGCTCTCGGAGGGTTTCGCGACACGTAAAAGTTTCCCACTCTAGTGGCCAACCTCCTGACTAGAGCCCACTAGAGTATTCCGTAATCCGTGCTAGGTTATATCGAATCAAGCGTGGTGACCAGTTGGTGATGAGGATCAGACGCCGTCGGTTGGTCTATCGCTGCTAGGGCGTGCGTCACCGTCAATGCACTGAGAGAATGAAGCCTGCTGTGCCTCATTGGTGACATCCCACTCGGTCAGGCGTCAGAATTTTTGGAAATTTATTGCCATGTGTTTGATATGGCCTCGGCATTCTATGCCGAAGCTACTTTGCTGGCATGGCATCCCGCAGTTAATCTACACGTTTGAATGTCACCAGCCGTGCGGGTAGAAGCTGGTCAATGGAAACGGCTCATTATTCATCTGGAAGATCGTTATTTGAGTGTTTTGTTCATCCCACGTTTGAATGGGAGGTGATATGATTGCATGCATTAGCGCCATACACTGAAGCAACACGCAACACACATTTATTGGCATAAGGACACAGGCCAGGCCGCAAAACCATTCATTACTTTTAGTGCACCCCGCGCGGAATAGCATCTGGCAAGCTTTCACTCGACCCGCCGCACATGTCCGTTTTGTGATAGTGTTTGCTAGTGAGCTGCCCATCTAGATGCTAGGGTCATTATCTCCCCAATCAAAACAACGATACGGGGCTCTCCGTGCTCAGCCTTTCTCCAAGAGACGCGGGCCATCATTGTCCAGGGACTGGTCAATAGAAATCGTTGAGCTAGTTTGGACAAGATCAAACACGAGCCCCATCCCCAATCCTGTAGGCAAGCGGGCTCTTGCATAGCCCCATGTATTGGATATTTCATATCAAGGACCAACTTTCTTCCGCTTGATAAGGTGGTATTGATTTACCGCTACGCAAGTTACCTTCCGGGCTAGACTGTAATGGTACTGTTGATTGATTTTCGTGAACCCCTGAGCCGAGTCAGGGGTTGCGGCTATCGTCGACCACGACCCACGCGCTCAGCATTATACGCCCGTACGTATTACTCTTATTGAATTCCCTGTCTTATCGTAATATGCTGATCGCACATACTATGTAATGTCGCTAATCCATGAGTCCTGCACCTGCCGATGGCATGTTGATGGTGGTTGCTTGGACGAACTTGTCAGAAGCAACTCTCCGCGCCACCTAGCTAGCCTAGAATCAAACCACGTGTCGAAGAAGCCTGCTAGCTGAGCTCTGGCAGGAGGCTGCGAGGTTTGGCACTCCTTTAGTCCATCGGCACCTCCCTACCGATGCGATTCCGATACGCCACACGTGAGTGACGATCCCTTAACTCACCACGGCAGTCCGGTAGCATCGTAGCGCAGAGCTAGCCATGGCTTTTTATTAATTGCGCTTCCCGTTGAGTAATTAGTTCGCTGTGCACGTCGGCGTTTAGTGTCCTGGTCGCCGGAAGTTCCCTAATTGGATGGGTGCATCTGCAACGGAAAGCTCTCCAAAACCATTGGCTGCGCTCGTTCAAACAATGAGACGCGAGACCGGGGGGGATGAAGGAGGGGTAAGCAAGATTTCGCGTGAAACGCTTGGGTGATGCAAGGTGAGTTGTCTTGTCACTGCAAAAAGCTTTTTCTTTTATGCGAATTTAAGCGTCATTTTCATATGCTGGTTCCCTTTTACACGCAAGGAAATGCGATGATCCTAGCAAATTCCACGATGTCACTAAATTATCTGGGGAGAACGACCTTCCAAATAAAAGATGACGGGTAAAACTTTATCCGTAGTTCATCTCAAAGCAATCTCTTTAATGGCTTACCATTGAGCAATGGCATTATCTCTTTCCAGTGCCTATTTCCCCATAATCCAGGCCCATTTCAATAATTAATATTTGCTCTCTCGTGTTCCCTTGAAACTTATTCGGCGATATCTAGGGGAAAGTCTTGTGCCTTAGCTGCCTAAAGAATTCAAACATCTTGATGACTTCAGACGCGGATTTATATTCACGGAACGGCTTCTGTAGGAGGGCATATCTCAGCATCAAATATTTAGGCAACAAAATCTTTTTCTAGCGAGTTCACTTCCGTTAATTTGATGATTCTAATGGTATTGTGTCGTTGTATATACTCTCATGCAGGGTCTTTCATCTTCCGGTATTCTTGACGTCGGTCGGATACCAAAGCTACCTTTAAAGTCAATAAGCTCGCCTAAATTTCATCCTCAGGTAATTTCTATTGCCTCAATAGCTATTTCTACCTCACAAGCGTCAAATGAAGAAGGCTATAAGAAGGGCTTCAATGCTGTCTAAAATACAACCAACATCGTCACCAACCTACACTAGGTGTTCAAAAGATCTTTCTCTATGGAATGAAGACAGGGGCCGCCTTTCATATAATGAGAGAAGCAGAGGTTAGGGTTGTTACTCAATCTGTCTCAAGCTATGCCAGGATATCTTGAAGAACCATGGTCATTTTCCCGTATCCCGGCTCTCGCTTCGACTAGCAATAGGTTCATTTCAACAGGATGAAGCTCTATTAAGCTCATCAATAGTAAAACCAAGTCACGGGTAGAAAAACTCAGTTGATTGGCAACTAAGCAATCGGCATAGCCCCGTAGCATATCATTACTCGGGTTAGCTTTTTGGAAGCGAATTTGCATGGCTGTGAGCCCAATCAGCACCAAAACTTATGCAAGCCAGACGTATAAATTTACGTTCGCCCTATTATGGCCCGGCAACAGAGCTGTGGAGATAGTCGCAGTTAAGGTTCTAACTGAACACAGTTCAGTTCGCCATCATAAATCTTTCGCCGGGGTGCCTGCCTTATTAAACTCTAATTCCTCTCTCGCTTCGTATTTGAAAGCTACCCTCTCCAGCATAATTCTGATCGATCCAGCAAACCAGGGCGTTGGGGAGATAATATAGAAGGTGTGCCTTAGTTGGTTTCTCCTTAGATCAAAACATCGAAGCCATGAGGCTCCCCTCCTTGGTAAAAGAAATCCCCAGAGGAGTAAGCATATGAAGGTATCTCTGACATGGCAGAACAAATAATTCTACTGCAGCAGACTATGGAAATTCGGGGAGAAGTTTCCGTCTCAACACAAAACCAAGAAAGTCACAGCTTTACATTTCTAAGAATTAAAGTAACGCCAAGACCTGCCCTTGATTCATTCGGAAAGCATATTAGAAAGCCGTACTGGTTCTCTTCTGCAGCGTCATGCTCAAGTGTATTATCGTCACATTGCGGGCCAGGCTAGTGAGCATTGTATACCACCAGCTTTCCCTATTTTACGATAGGTTTAGGGAGTAAAGTTAGCGTGATGTGTGAGGTCAGCCTTATGATATCCCTTAAGCCAGCCTTGTAACAAGAAGCCTCAGTGACAGTTGTAAGTATTTCATTTCAGTCACTTTGGGCTCTTCAATAAGTCAATACCAGGCAATTTGTCCAATAAATACTATATAGGCCGTTTTTCGACGTATCATCCCTACTCTTAAGCCCATACTCCAGTCTAAACGTGCCCGGATACAATCACTGCTAGATTAGTCCTTCTATTACTTTTTTAAGAAAAGAATAGTCGGGGTCTCTGCCTCTGCACAAATACCACTTTGGGATAACGGCTGGGCATAAGGTTACATTCTATCAACGAAGGAGGGGCTACGCCGATGAAGTCGGATTGGAGAAAGAGGGGGCACTGGTCGAACACTGGCAATTATTTGGGGAGTCTCCAATAGCAAGTGGACGGACTATAATTTGGGAATTCTGAGGCTTTGGACTAACAATTTTAATATCCATTTCAATCATTACCAGGCATTCTAACTTTCCTTTTTGTTCATTTCACACATACATAGCAAATGGGGCCTGGGAAGGCTCCTCCTTCAACACAAAAGTCTTAACTCCGACAGCTTGGAAGGCAGTCTGGACTTTGCCGTGCCTGCCGGTGAGGTATATTGTCCGCAAGTCCTTAAACCTTGCAGGCACATTTGCTGCCAGGTGACCCAGCGCACTGTCTAGTCCATTGGGGGAATGGACGATCTTCAAGCTCCTGATCGAAACCGGGAGCAGATCGGTGATGGTTTCCCGCGGATACACGCCTTCCCCCGGCCCGAAGCGGATCGTGCTGGTCTCTACAACGAGTGCCTCGAGGACTCGCATGTCCCGGATGCTTTCCATGCAGTACAATGACGGATCGCCGCCGCACCGGGCTATCACGTCCGGGGCCAGGGTAAAGTCCACCTTGACTTGCTGGAGGGTATCGGCTCTGTGCAATATAGCCTGGAAGACCTCCTTGGGTGGTGCATCGTCAAAGGTATCGAGGAAATCAGCGCCTGGAGTGTACGAAAACACCCGCAGCTTCTTTGCTTTCTGCATCAATTCCTCCAAAGTCGAAAGCCCGATGCGGCAACGACGAAGATGCAGCTCCTCCAGGTGGTCAAAGGTGACCGTGTCTGGAATGCCCCGGATCAGCCAGTTCTTTGCCTTGAAAGAGGTGAGGTTCGGCGCTGCCTGGAGAAATATATCTGCCATCCCAACGAAGCTTCGCTTCAGATTGGTGTTCATGTGGCGTCCGGCATACGCGATGGTGAGCTCCTTCAAACGCGGCATGGAGCCGGGTGGCGTGAAGGGGAAGTGCGTGGGATTCTCCCAGGCAATCTGGACGTCGAGAAATTTCACGTTGGGCGCGTGCGACATGGCGAGGGAGGACAGGGCGAGCGAGCTGTGGAGGCAGAAGATCTGGTCTCGCCCCTGAGGGTCACGGTGACGGCTCTCGAGCCACCATTTCGGGAGCACCTGGATAGGCGTGCCCCTCGACTCTGAGAACTCGGCCAGGTGCTTGGTGAGGTACTCGCTCTCTTCCTCGGTAATGGTGTAGTCCCGCTGGCTGTACATCTCGGATCCTACCCGCAGCTCTCGGACCCTCGCGCCGAGATCTGGCCGTTTGCAAAGGGCCAGGGCGAGCGAGAAGGAGCTCGCGGTGCCAACGAGCGGCGAGTGATGGAGGATTGGCTGCGCGATGGTCCGGAGCAGCGAACAGGTCTTGGAGATGGACGACAGAGCTCGGAGGTGCGCCATATTCCAAGCCGAGTGTTGCCGACGGATCTTGTCGGTTGTGCCGAGGCAATGGGGGCACAGCACCTGGCAGACATTCTCAAGGATCTCCAAAGGGAGATCGATGAGAGTGAGGGCCATGTCTCGATGCAAAACAAGCTGCTCGTCGCTGGAAGGAGAGTGGTGTCTTGAGAGGTCCAGGTTGAGGGGTTTGTGTCTTGCCGAAGCCGGGGGTGTGAAGAAGATCGTGGAGCTAATCCCTCGCATTTTATGCAATATCACGGAAATCTTTCGGAGTCTGCTTGATGACAGATCGATTAAAGCGGGCCCATTAAGCTCATGGCGATGGTTACCCCCTATTGAGTGCAGGCTGGCGATGGATAAGATTGATAAACAGGCGTGGGGATGACTTAGTGGGTAGCTACAAGGATGAGATGATCTCTTCTTAGTGATAAGATGGTCGTAGAGGGTAGGGTTGACACATTAACACGTCTAATGCCCCGTTGAATGGCCCATGGTGGAGTCTTTGGCTGGAAGTAAACCCACAGGCAAGAGTATCCACGCGTGGAGAGACGCCCCTGGAGTCTTTTGTTAGCCAAGATATGGGAAGTTGGGATATTGGGTCCTAAAAAGGAATGGCATAACCTGCGAGAGCGATCTAGGTTGATTGCCAACAGGGGTTGTCGAAGCAGCATCGCTTTGTCCAAGTCCAGTAAGATCTGAGACGTCAAGGTAAGATAAATGGGATTGATCAGGAGAATGGGGAGAAGAATGGATTCATCTATTCATACCCTCAGTGTCCTTTATTTGACTCACTATATACCGCATATATTAATTTAATATTCACTTCTCCTGAGTAGAATCTCGCCTCCTTCCAGCGTGCGTCCTGTCTGTGGGATCTTCAACACCCCCTGTTCGACCAGATCCTTTGCTAGTCGAGGCAAGATACCGTCACAGCCCTTGGCAACCAGGAGACTCACGGCCACAGGCAACAGCTCATCTTGCCCCGTAATGGAGCTATTTGTCGCCACCTCGCCAAGCGGGAAGACATTGTCTGGCACTTCGGCGAAAACACTGATCCGGCCAGAGCTGAACCCGAGAGGCGCACCAGGAGCTGAAAAGTATCTATTCCTCGGGCTTGGGGTGCCGCTGCTGCTGGGGTAGAGCAAAATCGACTCTGAGCATTGACCGCCATCGTTGGAGCGTGGGAGGACATTGCTGTTGAACCAGTTCATGAACGCGGTCTTGTTCTGCAGCGCGGCCTCATAAGTTCCCTCTGGGAGTGCTTCGGCGTAGGCCCATCGGGAAAGGGGCACGGGGTTCACAAACGGCCGACGCCCTTCATAAGCAGCAGCATAATCTACATAGAAGGGATCACGGACCAACTTGATTTGCTCGATGCCGATGAGCGCTGCATAAGTCTGCCGCAGCATGACGCTCAAGGGGTCTGATACAGGTCCAGTCTCGGTCCAAAGAGCAGCAAGGTCCAATACTTCCGGACCACCTGCACCAAGGAAAGCTGCCAGCTTGTCCGCAAAGTCTACTATAAGAGACTGCGCGCCATCAAAGCCATAGGTATAAACCTTGGTTGGATACTTGATGTCTGAGGTATACGAAGTATAATTGTCGCCGTACATAGCTTTGTTGGCAATGTCCCAAATTTCTGGATCACGTACAAGAAAGCCGGGGGTATCCAAGGTTGGGCTCAGCGGCATAGCGCCATCGAGAGTGACGAGATCCTTTGAAGGCCTGTTTCCAAATAAGCCTTGTTGGCCAGCAGGTCCACGGATAGACCCGCCGGTATCCGAACCGACGGCGATATCAAGCCACTCGTAAGACGCAACGGACGCTCCAGCACCGGATGAGGATGAAGAGGGGCTATTGTAACCATCGCCGCGGGGGTTGAACGGGGAATGATAGTCGACCCAATCAGCCGTGGCAGTTTCTCCGTTGGCAAATTGAGACAGCTTCTGATACCCCACGATGATTGCGCCCGCATCGATCAAGTTTTGGATGCATGGAGCAGTGGTATTCGCTTCAGGGTATAGGCGCCACCAGGCACGGTTTCCATTGGACTTGCGCAGGCCAGCAAGATCGTAAAGCTCTTTAACACCAACGCGTACCCCGGCAAGAGGCTTCTCGGCCGATCGTGTGAAATACAGTCGTGAAGGGACTCCGATAGTGAGGGCATCTGAGCCATGGACCTGCGCGGAAAGAGGTTGAAAAGAACTGCCTGTTGGGCTTTGGAGCAGGCCAGCGCTGAAGGCTTGTACAGTATCTCTATAGAGACGAAATGCTTGATAGAGCTCGCCAGATGATAAGTGGAGGAAGTATGGTCCTGAGGGGATGGTCAAATTGCTGGATAAAGGGAATACCAACGAGGAGCCTGCTCCGTCGTACAGGGACTTCTTGGAAAGGCAGCCGCCTTTGTGGTTGGCGAGAAAAACGCCAGACAAAAAGCCGGGCTGCCAAACATCGTCTTTAGTTGTCCAGTTCTTGAAGAGGCCACCAAGAGATGCAGTGTCCACGTTGTCAGTTACAACGGTGACAGGTGCAAAGCCAAAAGCTTGCGTCAACGACGTGTGAACCACAGGCCCGTCGACGACCTTGCCTTGGGAGTATGGTGACACAAAGTAATCGACGTCCTTGATTTTGAATGAGGCACCCGTGCTAACGAGTTGTGAAGCAGCTGTGCCCAGAAGGGCAAAAATTGCGAGCCCTTTCATAGCCAACAACAAGGCGGGGTTGGAATGAGGAGCGTCGTAGAACTTTCAACTCTGTAAAGATGACCTTGCCAGTGTGATACGCATCTAGGCTAGAGCCCTTCTATTTATTCATTTGAGTTTGGCCCAGTAAGCAGCTTTCCCGAGCCACCGGATCCCCGGGACAGGCAATGATCGTTTGGGGCTGCCATGACTGCCACGATATTACCAATAATCATGGAGGAACCGTACGCTCGGTACCCGATTGGCCGATTATAGACCTCATGCCAAGAAATTGGTTATCGTCGTCTAACCCCAGACGCTCAGCAAGGCACTCGATGCCCCGCTGGATGACGAATGGTTCAGTCTTATCAGTGGATTCGGCAGTGTTTGCAGAAGGTCATTGCGTTGACATGGATCAAATCCCGTCTAGTAAGCCTCTTGGATGGGGTTTGCGGAGAAACACACGCGATAATGTCACCGTAGATAGGACATTATGCATATCTCCAAAGAAACTTTCGGTGACATCCCTGCTCGTTGATATCGCTTCATTTCCGCTCCCCGCTCACTGACTCTACCAGGGTGAACAATTCCCTCATATCGTGTGTCATTCTTTCGAAAGAACGCATGTAATTTCGATGTGTGCCTCTTTTACAACAACATGCAATAGATAACAGGATAGGCGCATCCGAGATTTCACACAGCTCTCTTGAAAATACCATGTTGCATTTGGTCCTAGAAACTACATGTATGAGCTTGATAGGCCAACAGCGAGTCTTAGTTATATTTAGGATTCCTTCCCTAGAGAGGGCTAATTAACTGCCTGGGCTCTCATGCCGCCTCCCGATCATCTCGTCTCGTCAATAAATACAACTCCTAGACGATGGGACACCATTGATTAAAAACATTCTCGGGGCCCCATTCCTGTTTGAGCTCCCTCAGACGAGGCATGCTTTCGCCATATATTTCTTCTAGGGATTCATCGACATGTGCAAAATTAATGTACCTAATAGCTATTGGTATCCGTACCCCTTTCTACTTCTTCCAAACAATTTGTGATCTCTGGGTATCGAAGCCACTTGAAGCTCTCCAAAGATCGCGGACTCGTGAACCAAAAACCTTGACTTTTGGATCAAGGGCCGCGGATTGCGGGTATCATAGCCACCCTTATTTCTTCTCGGGTACCGAGCCGCGCCTCTTCTAATAGCAAGGCCTTGAGATCTTCAATAACGTCTACCGTGCCATTGGATTGTCAGGCATCTGTGAATTAGACAAAGGAAAGTGATAGCCCAAGTAGTTGAACGACCAAACGATTCATAAGCATGGCTATAAGTTTAAAATAGTTCTCGATATGAGGAGAAATTGTACTCGGGATTGTTGGAGCAAGAAGATCCGGGAGCATGCCCACTACTTATACAACTATCTTTACTTATTCAACTTTCCAGCACCTCTGAACGAGTAAGCTGCCACGACCAATGCCGTAACACTGATGGCAAAATTGAACCACTCCGCAGCTCTTGAACCTCTTAACAAACTCTCGCTATGCGGTCTATAGGTGCCGTTATGTCCGCTGTTGTCATTCGTCACGGCAATTTGGATAGCAGTTGCCACAGCTAGGCCAACACTCCTGCCAACTTGGCCCAGCGTCTGGAAGATGGCCGCGCCCGCCGCTCTGTCTTTTTCTGGGATCGAATTCATTACGAAAATAGAGATGCAGGGGAAAAGCATGTCTCCGCCAATCGTCAACAGAACCATTGACGGGAATCCGTAAGCCCAGTAGGTCGTGTCGGGAGGTATAGGTACCGCAAAGAGCAGGCAAGCAACCGAGATGCACGCAGTGCACCATAACACCATGTAGTATCCATCGACGCGGCTCAGTACCTGAGACGAAATAAGGGTGGCTATGATACCCGCAATCCCACTTGGAAGGAAGCGCAAGGTTGTCTGAAGGGCGTCTAGTCCCTGATAGTCTTGGTAAAAATAACTCGCGAAGACGAGAAAGTTGTTGAACGCAGCCCAGAAGATCGCATCAATGATCTGTGCTCCACTGTATATAGGCGAGCGGAAAATTGATAGTTTTATCAGAGGCGGTCGTTTGGCTATATTTTCTAACCAGTGTTCCCATTTGATGAACACAGGAAGGATTACGCAAGTGACAATGAGGAGCGTCAGAACCCAAGGTGACGTCCACCCAACCACGTTCCCGGCGGTCAGAGACACAAGGAAGAACACCAAAATAGCAAGGGAAAGTAGGAGGCCAACCCAGTCCATCTCAATCCAGAGGTAGTAAAACCGCTTTTTGAGTGATACTTCCCTGATTTCAGCATCCTTGGCTAAGAATGGTACGACAAACAGTGACGTGGCCCACGAACAAGCCGTGGCGATACTCATAATCCAGAACACCCAGTGCCAGTTGATTTGCTGAGCGATAGCACCTCCAAGTATGTTCCCTATAAGGCTGCCTAAAGGGAATCCAGCCGAAAATACCGACATGGCATAGATTTGGGGTTTGCCAGGCGGGAACACCTCGAATATGATGCTTACGGCACTTGGCACTGCGGCAGCCCCTCCCAGTCCGTGGAGGACGCGAAAGAAACAGAATGAAACTTCATCGGGTGCAAAAGGCGCACTGAGGCAGGAAATGAAGAAGCTAGCCAGCCCGAACTGGAAGATGAAGCGCCGGCCCCATATGTCCGCGAGCCGTCCCCAGAGAGGTAATGAACAAGCGTTGGCGACTGAGGCCGCTGAAAGAACCCATTGCAGGTTACCAGGGTGGATATTAAGGTCCCTTCCTATGGTTGGAAGAATAATAACACAGGCTTGAGTCATGCAAAGCTGGGTGAGGGAACCTGTTAGCAGAGTCCAGTCCGTGGTGGCCTAGAGACGGGATACCCAAGCCGGGATTCATTCGCGAAGCGAACTCACAGTCAGGAATGGGGAGCTAGCCAGGACGAGAGCTAATGCAATAGATCTTGTGCGTGATAAATTCGGCTTTTTGTATGTACCATGTGCGGTTGGTTCCTCTGCATTTTCTAGCGGCGGATCGAAATTTTCCACCTTGCCCTCCGGCGCCGGCGCTGTTGGACCTTTTTCATCCATGGCTTCGGTGATAATAAAAAAATCCAGTTCAGGGGGGTTTTAGAAAAGAAGCAGCAAGAAGAGCTATATTGGACAGATTTCAAGGGAGCATCCCTTGCCAGTTCCGTCAACAGAGCTCGCCCTTATCAAGACTCACCTAATATTACATCATAACTATGAAACTGGGACCTTGATTCGAATTTGAGTCACCTTCAGAACTTTGGGAAACCAAGGGTGAAAACCCGGACTCCCCCTGAAACAACCTTGGTACTTGTCTTACACGGATCACTTATGGAATCTCCCACACACAGAAGTAAGAAACGAGAAAAGTCAAGCTTTTTAACTTTTAACCAATCACGAATCAAATAATCCATTTGTTAGGTGGTTTACATAATTGATGCTGCCTCAAGCCTGGAGAAAAATGGCACAAGCTATTCTCCAACGACCACAAGAAAAGCCCATGCCACCCTACCCCCATTCTTTCGGCGAATTTCTTTGCCGCCTCTACTTCTCTCAAGCCAACTTTGGATCGTGTGTACTCAAGGGCCCCCGATGTGGTTTGATGGCTTTTACTTCGGCGACATAATCAAAGTTTCCAAACCTCTGATTAAACACGACATCCTTTGGTCCATGCGGCATCTTTCCCCCTCCAAGGAAATCGAATGGAAACCCTGGCTCAAACAAGTAAGCCTCGTCAACTTCTCTAGTATCTTCTTCTGATAGCTCGAGACTGAGTGCCTCAATGTTCCCTCGGAGATGCTCGATCTTGCGACCACCCACAATTGGCACGACGTGAGGGGCTTTTTGCATCACCCACGCCATAGCCACACTCGTCATGGGTACACCCAGGCGCCCAGCTACTCTCTCAAGAACATCAGCTACCAAGTCTTCACGTCCGTTTTTGATACCGGTCTTTCTTCCATCGCCAGCCTGGCCACGCTGACTCTTGGGCTTGAAATAGCCACCGCCCAACGCGCCCCAGGCAGCAAGTCCCATATCTTGATCACGGCACATGGGGACGATTTCCCTCTCCATGTCTCGGATCGCCGCGTTCCACCTTCCTTGGTACACACAAAACGGTCTCATGCCGTGGTGTTTTGCGTACGAGTTGCACTTGACGACCCACCACGCCGGGGCATCCGAGATACCAAGATACAAGACCTTGCGTTCTTGTACTAGGAAATTGAGGCTCTGCATAAGCTCCTCTGCTGACGTGGCCATGTCCCAGTAGTGGACATAGAGGATATCGATGTAAGCTGTCTGAAGCTTTTTCAAGCTTGCCTCCACTGAGAGGTGGAGTGATTTGGTACCGTTGCCGCCGTAGTTGCTCTGCATACGGGTCTTGTCTGACTGCGCTTTGTAGCCGGAGGAGAATTTGGTTGCAATAACCATATCATCTCGCAGACCTCGCTTTGCCAGCCACTCGCCGACCCAAATTTCCGATTCTTCGTCTTGGTACATGTTGGCGCTAGGAGAAGTGAGTCCCTCTGTTTGAATACTCGTTTCGTGGCGGGCAGGAAGGTGCTTAATTTACTTACGTGTCGATGAAATTCCCGCCTTGTTCATAAAAGAAGTCAAGCATCTCGAAGGCAGTCTCCTTGGTACACTCTCCGAATTTGTCCTTCCATGCTTCTCCGAAGTTCAAGGCGCCCAAGGACAGGGGACTGACATATACGGATGCGGATGGCGATAGGAGACGATGTCTTCCAAGGGCTGTCTTGGGAGGCGGGCAAGGTGGCGCGGTCATCTCGAAAGTTATGTTCAAGTAACTTGTCTCTGATCGCAGTGGAAATAAAGTATTTCTATCCCAAGAGAATGTCAACCAACGCAAACAGCCCCCCTGAAGGCCATCTCATTGCCATTTATACGTATTCGTCAAGCCTTTACGGGCGTTATTCTTTATCAAACGCATGGGGTTTGGGTTTGTTAACTCCGAAACTCCATCC